CCGATTATCCCATGACATGCCTCCCTGCTCGAACAAAAGGAGTCAGTTAGTGACGAAGACCGGTTGAGTATTTTTCCAAATAGTTGATGAAAATTTATTTACGTTACATGTCTGTCGTTACGTTTGGTGGTTGTTTCGAGTCGTTGGTGATGTTCCTGTTCTTGTAGTTCTTGCTTGTTGTTATTGATGTAGACGTTGCTGTTCACTCGGACTGTTTCTCGTTCGATATCCATTACAGTTATTTTTTCAAATTTTATCTCTCAGAGATTCTTCCCGGTGGCTATACAGCCATCGAGCTACCAATCGATCATCTCTATATCCAATCAACCCAGTAATCAGTGAATACCGTCGATCTCGGTATTTCGTTCATTGTTAGTAGCTGTGGATGTCTCGTCTTGAAGATAATCGTAATAATGAATATCCCGGTCATGATATCGAGGATAGTGAGTCCGTGTACAATCGGCAATAGGGGATCATGTTTTCCAACACACTGAAACTCAACAAAAATTGGAAAGATTATTGTCATTGATGTTTGTTGTTGTGGTTTGTTGTCGTGATCGTTAGGGGAGATCTTCACTTATCGGTCGACTAAGGATAAATGTTTTTAGTCGGCCCGTTGCCGGCCACGCGACGCTGGCCGCTGTTAGGGACTCTTCGCCGTCATATGTTGTCCCCCTCGATATAATTCTAGGCACCATGAACGGTTCCAATGTCGCGGGCGGCGGCAAGGCGGGTGCGACGTTTTTTGATTCTCTGCATCAGTTGAATGATCATCATCGTGTTCTTTTTCGTTCTGCATAAGTTTTTGGCCCAGCTGTTGGTGCGCTCGCAGCCAGACGCGATGCCTTTCGCCAAAAAATGTATCACAGTATAAGGCCGCGCGCTGGCCGCGATTTCAACACGGGCCCTGGTAAATCGGGGGATAAAACCAACCACCTTCTTCACCGGCAGCCAACCTGCCGTCCGAACCACCGACACCGCTACGGCGAGCACGTCCCGGAACAGAACTCGGAGCGAGGGCCCGCCGCAGCGGTTGCTCTCTTGGTCGAAGAAGAAAACTCTTCTACGTTCTCTGTTCGACGAATAGTTCGTCGTTGCGCGAACTTCCTCGGGGAGCGAAGAAGTTCCTCTCGACGATCTAGGTTCCGCGTTTTTTTTAAATCCTCAACTCGTTCTCGAGCCGTCTCTCTGCTGTCGTTTTCTCTTCTTCTGTTTATACACACACATATAGACCGCGTTTTGAATTGATTTCCAGAAAGAGAAAGAACTTTTCTACTAGAGTATGGTTATAGAGTTCTCGTTATCGCCATTATTATCTCTGCTCGTATTCATCATCATCAGTATTCTTAATCTCGTTATCGTCATGATCATCATCATCAATGTTATCAGCATTTCTCATGGTCAAGCCGAATATTGAGTTCGATATACCTCTCGTATATGCTGCTGCTTTGATGATTGGGACTATAAGTCATGGGGTTTTCCATTTTTCTGATTTGTGATTTGAGGAAAAAGTTCTGGCCAATGGACGACGTTTAAGGCCTCGGTGTAGTTCTGACTCCTTGCTCATTGTGAGCCTTTAACGTGCGTAGAAAAATAGAAATTACAGCATTCGTATTCTAGTCTATATATTAAATATCATCATCATCATCGTCGTCGTCGTCATCATCATCATCATCTCCATCAATCATCGTAATTAGGATTAGTAATCTCCTTAGGGACCGGTACTCATCCGTGAATTCAAGGTCTCGGATTGTTGTGTCCAACCTAAATTTGCATGCATGCGAACAGGAGACAAGTTGGCGCCGAAGCTGCGGTCGAGTGAGATCCTAAGCTTAGTACCGTCCATTCCGGAGCGCCAACCTCAACTCCAGACTGAGATCCTTGAAGTTGTGAGTGCGAGCCTTCCAACTCTGAACGGTGTAATCATGCGCACTGAGCAACCAGGGAATCCGTGATGGGAGAAGTTCATGAACGGATGGATGGATGAAGGACTTATTCGATCGATCAGTCAATCAATCCATCGATCAAATAATGAGTGAGAGGATGACGCTGGGAACTACGAGGTCAGAGAGTCAGGCCTCCTCTCTTTTTGCTAGGAGTTCTTCAACTGTAGGGCTCCTTCTGCTCGTCCCAACAGAAGAATACGAAGTCGCTAATTGAGTCCCCGCTATTCGTGGACCCGATTTGATAACAACGGAACGCGCTGCTGATGACCTTTTATCATAATAATAATTATTGTTATTATTGTTGCTGTTGTTTACGTTGTTGTTGATGTTGTCGTAGTGATTTCCGTCAAAGGGCGACGTCGTAAGCTAGCATAATTGCTCAACCACTGCCATTGCTGCCTCCAACGGCGCAGAGGCTCATCGCTCCGTTCGCTTTCGACAGCGAAAAGCGCTCGAGCGGTTCGAAGCTGGGCCATGGGTGCGAGGAGTTTCCAAAGTTCGGGGGAAGCCGATTCTCACCTCGTGTTACTTCTCTGACCGGTGGCGACAAGGAGGATGGGAATGGGACCGTTTGAAAGTAAGACATCCTGTACGCCATGGAACTCAAAGTATCCGTGAGAACTGAAAATCGAGCTCAGCAGCGGGACGTTCTGATGAAGGAATCGGGTCTCGCGGTGATGAATTATTCAAATTGAACGAATGATCGGGATTGATGGGAATACGGCAACTGAAACTGGAAAAGAAACTCCAACGAAAAAAGAAAACCAAGGTTGAAATTAACTTAAGGAACTTATATTTGGTTTCTGGGCCACTTAACTTACAGACTAGACTTGGACCTTAAGCAAGCGGCAGCGCGCGTCCCGAGTCGGATTCGCGTCAAAGATAAATACCCCATAGCTTCGCCGAGGAGAGGAAATGCATACGATTTTGCAAAAAAGTCCAGAGTGATTGTGCGAGGGAATTCCGGCGAAGCCTTCTCGCGGAAGTTGTATGCGTCCTCGAGGAAGTCATTCCGAGAGCTAATATGTATTGACATCCGCGTAAAAATCGAAACTCGGAATCGCTCGTGCCGCCAGCTTTCACAGAATTCTACCAGAATGCAAAGCGAGACGCTCTGTGCAATTATTATCATAGCGTTACCACTGGACTTTGCCAGAAGTATTCGTGGTTCATGTACATAATGATCTCAATCATAATATAGCTGCAGTTCACCCGGTACAGAGATGTGCCACGCATGGAGAAAACAGCTCGGAGTTCCGAATCCAGCCCTGCCGGAAAGGGGATGGAATCGCTTCGATACTTCTTTAAATAGTATAAATAGACCCGGGCAGCGATGAATGAGAAACTCCGAGGATCCCGCGGGCCAGACACTGGAGTTTACACTGAAAGCGGGTGGGTCGGTGTTGCCGAGATTTGATGAAATGCCCCTCATCGTTCCGCAGTCCGTTCGAGTCTTTTGATGTAAACAGGAGGAGTGAGGAGATGAGCAACTTTCGAGGGAGACCGGATAAAAAAGCGAGAACTCGAGGGAACGAGAGCGCTCAGGAAATAGAGCCCACTCAGAGAAAAAGCGATCGAGCGCACGGGCCGAGGGGTAGAAGGAACGAGGATGCTTTAAATAGTCATCCATCAAATCGGCGCAGTTCTCATTTTTTTAGTTTGGCGACTAGTTTGTTGAATAAATCATCCACACGGAGCCAATTGCTCAAGGGATGTGGGTTCGAAATTTTGATCGATGCTGACGATGTCAAACAGGTTGCGAAAGAAGTCGGAGCCTCCACTCAAAACTCGGCACACTCGACATACACCGCCGCGTTTGAGGATCGAAACGACACGCAGCGAACACAACGCGAACACAGCAAGGATTTGACTGTTGGGGGAGGGGGGAAGGGTTCGAGTCGGGACGGGGCAGAGGTAAGGATGGGTAATCGAATGTGTAACTTTGACGTATTCGAGAGGGAAAAAAGTTTGATTTGATTTGAGAGCAACACGAGGCCCGAAGATATTGCACAAACGTCGTCACAAACGTCTGCCTTTTCGATGGGCATTCGAATGGAGTCCGCGACCGCGTCAGCGGACGAAGGCGGCCTGCCCGCTGGCAGACCCGGCTCCGGCGGGGTCTGGCTCCGCTATCCTGATCTCCAGAGCGCGTTCAACATTTTGCTTGACATTTAGGAACTTTGGAGTGGTTGGAAAGCTCGAATTTCCATTCAAAACTATTCTCAGTGGTAGACGAAGTAGCAATAGTAGTCCGCACCTCCGCTATTTGGAAGAGTGAAGGGGTGGGAGCCGCAGCTATTCAGGAGCTTGAACCCCGCGTGGCATCGTGTGTTCATTGCACTGACATTGAAAGGGTTTACGCTTCCATCGTGTATGCTTCATCATACATCGTCGTCATCATCATCATCATCATCGTCATATATATGTAATATAATATATCCTATATATTATGTGAATATGTCTATTTCGTTCGCATCTAGCCTCCTTCTGTCAAACTGTAGCTCTCTGTTTCTCTAACTGGTTTTGATGCTGTTCTTCCGACTTCGGCGTCGAGCTACGGCGACTCTTTCCGTCCGTCTTATATGTTTGTTCCAACGTAAATGTCGTGGTGGTCTACGTCGTAAACGTGGGGATGAGTTTGTATGTCGTCGACGTCGTCATGTGGACTCGCATCCAGACGGAGAAGGACCTTCGAAGCAGAGCACACTGAAGTTGAGGCTTCGTTTCTCATGTTCGTCCTCTTTCGGATAGATTATCTTTCTTTGTCAACAATCCGATCAAAGTGAGATCTAGGCTCCACGACGGAGCCGCGGACCCCCCAGGGTTTATAATACAGTTATCACTTCGGGTCCGGTGGAGACCGCGGCTCCGGCGAGGAGACTACGTGGCGGTCTCGAACAGCTGTTTCCGTCGACGTCGATGTTCTCTCATCCTTCTCAATGCAGTGTTGGTTTGAATGCAATTCGTATGCTTGTTTGTTTGAACGTTTGTTTGTCTGCTTGCTTGCTTGCTGTTTTCTACTCTCATCAGTGAGTTCAATTCTATACAGATGGTCTAAGCGGGGGTGAGTGTGAACGCGACAGTCATGGGCTGCGAGACTTTCCGGCATACCGGGAGATAGACGAGCGACGGCACAAACTTGAACTGGTCTTCAGGTGGCGGGACTGGAACGTTTTCCTGCTCCTTACGGTGGTCGAGAAGAAACGGCTGCAGGATGAACGGCGTGGGCTCGCTTTGCGGGATCACGTACGTCATCGGCAGTTGCTGGCCGTTGTTGTTGATGTTGGCACTCGTGAACCCCGGAGGGGGCGTATGCACCGGCGGGACGGTGCGGCTCAGCGTGACCGCGATGTCCGGCGTCTGCTCGAGCAGAGAAACTTCGGGTAACAGCGGATCGAGTTCGTTCGATTCCATGCCGGCCGCCGCGTTCATTTGCTTGTTTTGTGGTAGCTGATGCTGCTTGGTGATATGTATTTTGAGGGCGTTCCACGACCGGGTTCCGAAACCACAGATACGGCATTTGTACGGCTTGCAGGACTTCTGTTTTCCGGCGCCGAACTTGCGCTGCAGGGCGTGGAATTGCTGAATGTGCTGCTGGCATCGGTCCTTGGATTCGAAGCGCTGAGCGCATCGGCTGCATCGATAAACTCGTTTCACCAGACTCTGATCGGGATGATCGAACGACAATGAGGGAAGACTTGTGGGAGTAGCGGACTTTGACAAATCTTCGGGCTGCTCCGCGTTCGGGGCGCCGCTGACGGCCGCCGCCGCCGCCGCTTCTGGCTGTTGGCTCTGATCCTGAGACGGGTTGGAGGTGGGGGGGACGACAACGACGTTGGCGGACAACGACGCGCTCGCCGGCGGGGGTGGCGAGCTCGCGGCTGCGACCGCGCTCAATTTTTTCGCAGACGACCGGTGGCCTAACATGTGTATCTGGAGAGAGTGGTTGAAACGGTAGGCGCGATGACATACACGGCAAACGAAACGACGTTCCACGGACGATTTGTTGCTGCTATTCGTATCCATGATCACTCCGATATGCTTCTTTTCGTGCGCGTACAAGTTCGACAACCATCGCGTAGAATAGACACAGTAGAAGCAATTGTAGACCTTGGAGCCGGGCGCAGGGAAATCGAGGAGTCCTGTCGCGGCTCCAAGTTGATTCGAAGATTGTTGAAAACTGTTTTGGCCACCGTTCAGGGGTCGCTTGAAAAGAGCGCCGCCGAGACCACCGGCGGCCGCCGCCGCTGCCGCCGCTGCGGCCGCGGCGGCAACACCGCCCACGCCGTGCAGGGCGTGCTGGAGGGCGGCCGCTACGGCTGGACTACGGAGGGACATTTGGCTCGAGGGAGAAGGTGAAACAGAACCGTTCGACAGCTTAAATGGCGTCTGCGGATTGTTGTGGTGAAGGATGTTGCTATTGCCACCGATGATGCTGTTGTTGTTGTTGATGATATTTGTTGGGGTGGAGCCGTTGCTGTTGTCGTTCGAGGGTGTGGAAGTGTCCCGGGACGGAGAGGGCCGACTGCTCAGGTTCATGAAACCGAGTTCCTCGGACGAGGTTCGGTGCTCCTTGATCAGGTGGATCTGCAGAGCGACCTTGTCCGGGAACGTTTGGCCGCACACGACGCACATTCGGGAGGGAGGCATTAGGGCCAGCAAGGCCCCGGTAGGATCATTGGGAGGGAAGGGACTGCGCAATGGGGTCGTTGTCGTCGTCGTCGTCGTCGTCGACAGGTTCTCCTTCAGCGTATCGCTGTGATCGTTCATCATGTGCGTCTTCAGCCATTTTATGCTCTTGAAGCGTCGGTCGCACAACGGGCAGACTTCGGTGTATTGGCTCATGTTTCGAGAGCCGTGATCGCTTGCTGCGGAGATCGACAACTGTTGTCCGAGCATGTGGCCACCTGTTCCACTGCCAGCCATGCTGTTCACGGACAGGTCGCCTCCGGGGCTTGCGCTCTGGCTCCCGCCACCGGCACCGCCACCACCGAATAGATAATCGGAGGGGACCAGGGATAGGGAATTCTCTTTACCCGGCGGGGGATCTTCGTAGATGCCATGAGTGTTCTGCTTGTGCACTTTGAGGAAGTACTTCGAACACAGCTCCTTCTGGCAAATCTCGCAAGTGACCCCGCCGATGATGGAGTTTTTGGCCGCATCGGCCGGCTGCTCATCGAGGTTGATACCGTGCATCTTGAGCATGTGAGTCTTCATGAAGTACTTGTTGCACAGCTCTTTGTTACAGATATTGCAGTAGTTTCTACCCGTAACGAAGCTGCGCTGTGCGGCGTTGTTGGCAGTAGATGAAGGAGGAACTGAAGGAATGGGGACAGACAGCGGCTTCTCAGACGACTTGTGGATTCCACCGCCTTGGCCGCCGCCAACCTGCTGGAGATTCATTTGCGAGGCTCCGTAGAGCGCCGCCACTTGCATCGCTTGCGTTGCCTGGCTCAACTGCTGCTGCTCGTTGGGACTCGCCGCCGCCACCGCCGCGCTGTTGGCGGATGGGATCGCCATCTGCTGGCTGCGGGGGCTCTTGTTGTCGCCGCGTCGCTGGCCCGGCGACGCGGTCGGCGTCATGATCGAATCGGCCGAGATGCCGTGGATGTTCTGCTTGTGTGTCTTGAGAAAGTATTTCGAGCAGAACTCCTTCTGGCAGATCTCGCAGTACGCCTCCGAGTCGATGGGTCCACCTGTAGCAGAAAAAGCCGGGGTGCTGTTGCCGAAGATGTCGGTCGTCGAACCGTCATCTCCGAGAAGTACCCCGTGCTCGTTCATCATATGACCGCGGAGGTAGAACTTGTTCTCGAACTCCCCGCGACACACGTTACAGGTGACGCGGCCTTCGTTCACGAGCGCGTTGGCCGTGAGGTCGCGGATCATGCTTTGCAGTTTCTGTATGTCCTGGCTCGCAGCGTCATCTGGGGACGAGGTACCAAGGTCGTCCTCCTCATCATCTGCCTTTTGAGATTCTTTAGTCTTCATTTCGGACTCGGGGTCGGTCTCCAGCCCGGCAGGCTTCCTCATGACAACTTCGCCGTCACCGTCTTCGTCGTCATCGTCGTCGTTGTCGGCGTCATCGTTGGCATCGTTGCCATCGTGAGCGGCATCGTGCTTGATGACGTTGGCTGACAGCGATCCGTCTTTCTTACACGGCGTATTATTATTAGTAGTACTACAAGCTAGAACAGGAGACGAGGCTCCATCCCCGATCAGGTTCTGATTTAATGATTTCATCGATTGTTGCTGCTGCTGCTGCTCCTGGTCCTCCTGTTTGATATACGGAATGTTGTGGTTGTAAAACCGGTGAATCTTGAGCAGATACTGATTGGAGAAGCTTCTTTGGCAAACATCGCAACTGAACTCGCCGTTCCGCGATGAGAGATCAAAATCTGCGGCCGAGCGCAGCATTCCCGGCTCGGAATCGTTCGCACCCGCGCTGCCACCTGCATTGCTACCACTGTTGCCGTTGTTGTTGCTGCTGCTACTGATGTTGTTGTTGTTGCCACCACTGATTCCAGCACTACCACCGTTAGCATCACTTCCAGCACTTCCAACACCACTTGCTATTCCAGGGGAGGACATGTTCGTCGTCGTCGTCGTCGCTGCGACCGCCGCCGCAGCTGCCGCCGCCACTACCGCAGCTGCCGCCGCCGCGTTCGCCACCGTAGTCGTCGTCGTCGATGTCGTGCCCGAGGCGAGGCTGGGGGCACGCGAAAGGTTCTCCGGAACGTCTTGTAGAGCCCGCTCGGTCTGCTTGTAGAACGGGTCCGGAATTCCGTGCTTGTTGGCTTTGTGGGTTCGCAGAAAGTATTTGTTACAAAATTCCTTACAACAGATTTCACAAAACGCTTCGGGATTGATGACGCCCATCTCGCGGAGCTTCTCAGCGGTGAAGGGGGATTGGAGATTGTTGGACGACGTCGACGATGAGGAATTCGGGTTCATCATCATCATCATCATCATGGACGACGACGAACTACACGAACTTGGAGTTGAAGGTAGATTATTGTTGTTGTTGTTGGGGCCGCCGCCGCCACCAGCACCACCACCACCAGCGGTGACAGCAGCTGCGTTGACACCTGTCGAATTGGTCGTGGTCGAGCTCGATGAAGATATACTGCCGAGAGACACACTGCAATGCTCCTGAACATTATGCCGCCCGCTCGAGTCGACGTTCGACGAACCACCCCCACCGACGAGGGGGAATTGCGTGGGCGGCGTTCGCGTCGGCGTCGGAACTGATGCCGAGAACTTTGCAAGCAGGAAGTCGGACTTATCGGACTCGCTCGCGATGGCTTGGCCGCCCCGCTTCGCGTCTCCCGCACCATCCATTGCTGCTGCTGCACCCGACGCTTGCGTCGCTTGTTGCTGCTGCTGTTGCTGCTGCTGTTGGGGATCCACGACGATTCCGTGGATCTTCTGTTTGTGTTTTTTGAGGAAATACTTGTTACAGAATTCCTTTTGGCAAATATCGCAGAACGACTCCATGTTGACAATTCCTGGCTGCTGTTGGTGCTGAGGGCCCGAAGACTGAACTCTCCCTGCCGTCAACGCCAGCAACTGCTGCTCTGCCAACATCTGTTGTACTCCGCTTTGAAACAAATTCTGTGGCAACATGCCCTGCTGCTGTTGTTGTGGTTGTTGGTTTTGTTGCGATTGGTTCTGCTGGGATTGCTGCTGGTTTGCTTGCGACTGTCCTTGCTGCTGCTGCTGTTGTGAATGGTGAAGGTGGTGGTTTGGCTGCGAGGCCTGTTGGTGCTGCTGGGGGCCGGCCATCGGATTTCCGCCGACGGCACCGGCACCCTGTCCTCCACCTACGGCCTGCGACTGGGTCGAAGCGAAACCGGGAGAAGAACTAACCAGCGACTCCACTGAGTAGATACCGTGTTTGTTCGCCTTGTGGGTTTTGAGAAAGTACTTGTTACAGAACTCCTTGTTACACAACTCACAATAGGCTTCGGGGTTGAAGATTCGCATGCCGCCCGGCGTCGAGGGCGGGACGACGACTCCTCCGCCGTTAGTGTTCGCCGGCGTCGACGGCGGCTGATTCGTTTGGAGACCGGAAAACAGAAGCGATGCCATTGGGTTCGAGAACATCATCTGCTGAAGCTTAGCGCTGTCGACCTGTTGTTGTTGTTGTTGCTGCTGTTGTTGCTGTTGTTGGGGCGAGATGGGGAGCAGCGGATGAAATTGGAAATTCTTCGCGAAATCCACCGCCGTGCTCAGGCCGTCACGTTTCGTGCTGTCGACGGCGGAATTGTTCGCCTGCGCGGCCGCGTGTTGGAACATCGAGGCAAGAGCGGCCAGTTCTCGCTCCTGGCCTCGTCCCTTGTTCGCACTCGCGTGTTGCAGCTGCTTCTCGAGCGCTTTCTGTACATGCTCCTCTTCAATGTGGAGCTTCACCATTTCCTCGGTGGGGAAACCATCTCCGCAGTGGGGACACTTTATCCGGAGAGCGGCGGCCACCAATCCCGCATTGTCCATTGCGTCACTGTCGTCCTCGGAAAACTTCCGTTTGTGTTGTCCGATCGACGATTGCAGGTCGGCGATCGACGACGAGAGCCTACTCGACGTCCCGGACGACCGGCTGTCCTCGTCTACGGCGGAGATGGTTCCAGGATCGTCGGTTCCACCTGCGGATCCCCCACCTACACCTCCGCCGCCGCCTCCGGGTCCTTCACCGAGTGCATAGCGGACGGGTTTACTTTGTTTCCGACGTTTGTTGTTTTTGGCGTCTTGAGCCGCTGCCGCCGCAGCAGCTGCCGCTGCAGCTGCCGCGACCTGAGCGTTGGCCAACTGCTGCTGGTGGTGGTGCTGCTGCGCTTGCTGCAACGCGTGCGCCATGAAGGCGGCCGCCGCCGCAGATTCGCTCAATCGGTCGCCAGGCATCTGTAGTGCGGGTCTCGCATCTCCTTGGATGCCTTCCATTCCTCCACCGTTTTTCCGTTGTTGTCGACGTCGTCGTCGTCGTTGTTGCTGCTACCGCGACTGATGCTGCCGTAAGCTTCAGACGTGTTGCTCGCAGCAGTGTCGTCGTCGTCGTCGTCGTGGTCGTCGCCGCTTCTGACAGCGTTGACAACAACCACACCACCGACAACAACAACAGAAAAATCAACAGAGGTAGGCTTCAACACAACGTTCGTTTCTGTGTGTGAAGTCCTTACGTTATTATGCGTCAGTCCATTTTGGCAGCTGTTGCTGACGTCGACGTCGTCCCGTTCGTTGCACTGCTGCTGCCGTTGTTGCTGCTGCGGCGGTGGCTGTTGCTGTTGCTCCGATGATGCTCCTTGCTGCTGCTGTTGTTGTTGTTGTTGCGGTCGTTGACGTTTTTCTTCTTGTTGATGATGTTGTTGTGAACACACGGACTCTACTCAACTGGGCGTCGTCGTCGAACGACCAAACGAACATCAACACCAACACACGCGGTAACCAGTCGACAACTTCTCCAAACGAAAAAAATCCACTTTTCAGCTACGACCACCGTCGACCACGACGACAAGGATCACAAACGACTCGAACGATAGGACACAACGCCGGCTAGGCTTCGGAAGTCGTCGTTGTCGTCGTCGTTCCGCTGTCACTTCACACAGGCTATCGTGGTGGTCATCGCCATCGCGATGAACAAATCATAAAGCAAACTTCTACGGAGATGATGATGATTCGGTCACTCGGCTTGAGCTCGGTTCCAGGGTTGCAACGTCTTAAAGTCAAACAAAAAAGTGCGGCGACTGATGACAACTAGGCTGATGATGTCGGTGGTGGTTTCGTATCGCGCGCGCACTCACACAACACTCACACGACCCACCGTGAGCTCAGCCGAACTATGAATGAATGAAGTGAGTGAGTGAGTTCTCAAGCGGACGGCGCTCCGATCCCTGCGCTCCTCGAGGGAAGGACCAAACGTTCCTCCTCTCCCACGAGCTCTCTCCCGAATTGTGGGCAGCCGCGACCTGGAAAGGAGTCCCCAGCTGCCTCGAAGCTGGCGACCGGGAAGATTCGATGCCCTGCCGCGTGTCAGAGCGGTCGACGTTGCCGCTCGAATCCGATAAATTGTAATTTCCCTGCCAAGTCGAAGCGTGAGACTCCAAGACGCTATTCCAGGTGCTCACGAACTGCCTTCTCTGCCTCCAGCCACCTCGCGAGGTTCGGGAACGGTACCCAAACTCCGCGACTCGAACTCGTTCGAAACGTTCAGCGATCCGACGCGTGGAACGGCGTCCTGTTGCAGCTGCTCTCCGCGCCGAAGTCGAGTGGAGACGTCGTTCGATCGAACGTCAAAGTCCTCATCGTTCCTACCCCCATCGTTGGTCGCGCGGGCAGATTCCTACTCGTTGTCGTAGAAATGATGGAAATTGTCGTCGTCCTCCAACGCCGTCGATTCCTCATCACTTCTTCCAGTCTCCCATGCACCGTTACCCTAGGCAGATGGCGGAAAACGTCAACATCGCTTCTCTGGATCCCGAGCGAAGCATCACGCCGGCGTGTGGGCTCGTCTCTCGCCTGAGGTTTCCGACCGGCTCAGCTCCTGTAATGGGAATAGTGAAGCTTACAAGAGGGATTCGGAAATTAGCGAAAAGCGTGGAGAGCCGTCTGGAGTTGAGACATTCCCAGCGGACTCTTCCGGAGTCTCACCCCGTTTTCGGCCCATCCCTAGCGACTTGACAAGGGTGCGAAACTAAGCGAAAGAATTCTTCAAAAGCCGGATGTTACTCCCTAACATTCAAATAATTTTTCCTGGTCGCGGTACGTCATCGGAATTTACGAGGCTTAAAATCCTCCGGCACAACATGGATAGCAGATCGCTTGTTTTCTTCGGTCTCCATCCAGCGTTCGCTCAGTTGGTCTAAGTTATGGATCCGTTTGTGGGTACTAGGCGGGAATGTCTATCTGCTTGTCAGTTCGTCCCTCGATCCTCCGCTCTGACAGTTCTGTTGCGGTCGGAATGACTCGAGGTCTTGAAATTTCGCTTTATAGTCTCGTTAGAACATTTAGGCGTGTCCTATTCAAGCCTTCCTCCAGCTCAGTCAGTGTCCTTTGTCAACTGTCGGGAGATGTTCGAACGTTCACCGACGCGAGATACCACGATCGCCCTGGTGTCAGCTCTCGAACCAGACGCTGAAGCTCTCCCGACGGAAAACAGGACAATGGGCGCTCAATGCGAGATCGGGAAGCGTCAGCTCCTCGGCGCGGGGAGAGCAATGATTCTGCCATGCCCATGCTGCCAGCTCTGAGCGGGGAATCTGGGCACTCAGCAGGCCGCACCGGACGGAAAACATCGGAAATTTTTGTGAGGTACATTAGTCGCTCGAATCCGATGAAGCACGCAAAATGCGAATCCTTCGTCGAACTGAAGTGGTGTTCACAGTTCTTCATGGGGTGATCAGCGATGCTGGTTGCTTGCTGGATGGCCGGCCGACTGCGAGCATTTTAGAAGGCTGTTCGTTTCGTCTTCGGCCCCGGCCGGCTCTTCTCGAATGTGAGCCTTATTAAAAAACGATCCAAAATCGAACGGCAAAAATGGCCGCGGCACAAATGGCGACTGACCGCTTGATCTCGCGCCACGGATCGCTTGAAACGCCACTAATCAAACATCACCAACCACCTTTTGGCCAGACTCCGAACAGCAAAACGTCCGAATTTCCAACCTGCTCGACGCCGCGCCGCCACGCAACCACGTCACGGGAAGACTTTCGAAGCAATATATTGTCGACACTCTCGGATTCAGGTGACCGCATCTCGCCGTCGAATCGGTCCTGACATGCTCGATGAAATCGACAATCCCTCTAGGCTGAATGTCAGTCGACCAAGCTCGCGCGAGTTCTTCCCTTCGGAAACCAGCTGAGAATATTCCCCCAGACCGTTCCCATGGGCAGGGAATCGAGGACATCGATCGCTCCTCGGTCGAGATTCTCCTCCATTCAATGAAACGGCGCAAATCCGACGATCGTCTCCCGAATTAACATGATCGGCCAAAATCTTTGAGCATAGCATGCGACCACGATGCAATCACGATTCGATGGCGGTGTCGATGGCAATTTCCGTAGATGTGTCCGGGACGCGGTCGTCGCAGAACAAAAAAGACCGCCGAAGACCAAAAAGACGTTTATCGAAAACTTTATTGAAACGAAAAATCTTGGTCTCCTTTTTCATGTGGCGGTGCAACGTGAGACTCACTTCTACACTCACTCGACGATTAACGGCGATGGACAAGCCAATGCGGTTTCATCGGAGCCAATTTCAGCCTCCGCAAGTTCGGGACAACGATCAGATGGATAATTCGACGCTGCTGTTCTTGAATCCTCCATTTAAACTATGATTAATTATCTTTAAAATCTGCAGATCTGTTTCGTCTCCTCCTGTACGACTTCTCGTTTCCTTCAGTATCCGTCGTCGTCGCCGTCATTTTCTTCTTCCTCTTCTGCGGTATAATACGCTTTCTCATACCGCGGTCGTTTTTCGGGGTCTCCGCGCGGATAACGATGCTCGTCGCTCAGAATAGAGAACATCGTCACAAAAGCGGAGCGGAGAGAAAAATGAAATATGGAAAAACGTATTTTGAAGAAAATACATCGACATCGACGGCTTTTCTTCCGCGACCCTTTCGGGTGTTCTTCGTCATCCTCGCGCCTAGACGTGCCTACGCTTGGCGTCCCATTCCAAGTGGATTCTTCTCTTTCGCGGGGTACCTACGCTTTTTCCGATGATTTTCGAAATTCTAACGTCTGGGGGTCGGCAAGAGAAACGAGGATCGACGACGGCAGGCTCATAGGCAAACAAGCCAACAGGTTGGAGGCAGGTAGACGAGCGGATAGTCGAACAGCACCAGGAGGTAGAAATGGAGGAGTCGGGAGGAAAGGAGAGAAAGAGAAAAAAAATGAAAAATGATTCAAAACGACGAAGCCGCGGAAACCAAAATGTCCAAATTAGCAAGCGACCGAGCGGTTTCTCTTTAATTAACCAGTCCGTCGTGGCGATGTTCTCCCGAATGGTAGGTATCTGCCGACGACGACGCCAACAGCGGTACTTGAACGTTGAAAAGATGTCCGATCCTTCATCTATCCGACGAGATTCGAAGCCGTCGGACACGTAAAACGTGGCAAACCATCGATTTTTCATTTCGTGAACTTGGCAAATGATCCTTCTCAGCGTCTGGCAGGATCGTCACCTTGGAGTACGAGGCGGTTCGTTTCTCTTCATTCCGCTCGTCGTGATATATCCGCATTTGATCATTCCATGAGCCGTGGACAGGGAAAGCTAGCGATGAGAACTCTGTGAGAGGTTCATCGATGCACTTTGGAAGATTACTCACGAGTCAACCCATGACGACAATGGCGACGAGCTGACTGACTGAGTGAACGGGCGACTGAGTCAAGCGTTGAGTAAATCATCGCCGTCGGAACAAACGACCAGTCCGTTTCCAGATTCTAAATTATGCGATGCCGTATCATATCGTCAAACAGCACCTAATACGTGGGAACTATCGAACTTTACAATGGGAACGAGATGGACAACAGAACTGTGCCATTGTAAAACCCCTGGGAGTGGCATCGGCAAGCCTTTCAACAGCCGCTCCTTTAAAGCGTTCGAGAAGCGTTCTCCCCTCACAAGGCTCGGTCGGCCTTTCAATCAATCCAATATTCCGACGCTCTATCGTTATAAACGCCGTTGCTCCAATCTCATTCCTTGAGTGCGCCCGCGGGTTGCCGTTCCCGCTGTTTCCGGAGGTAATATCGACTTCAAGGCAGTTGCTCCGTCCGGGTAAAGGGTCAGAAACGTTGCTGTTTCTATTCGAGCGCGCTCGCGCTTCGGATTTTCGCCGCGCGAAGCGTCATGCAAACGTTTCCAGGGCTCCGAGCTTAGAGCTCATTCCGAGCTACAACGGATTCAGC